AGCTGCACCACTAATTCAAAGTGATATAAGTACTTCTGCAATTCCATTGTTATTAGGACACCTAATTAAATGCAGAGCATCCGAGAAGAGCATCTTTGGGCTTGTAAATCTAAAGCACAGAAGTCGGGGGAGGAGAAGGAAGTTGCTGTGTCCTTGATGCTGGGGCTGGGGGTGTGGTGAGCCATGGTGCCTGTGGGTGAAGGAGGGTAGCTTCTTTCCTCTCGGGGCTGAGTAAGGGGTCAGGCTGGTCACACGGCTGCAGCTGTATCACCCGGCATAGCCTCTGGGTGTTGGGGTACAGGGTGAGGGGGAAGGAGCCAAGGAGAGGCTGCCCTCCCACCGGGAGAGCCATGGCCCTGCTTCCTACCTCCCAGCTTCTGGGGTTGGTAGGTCTGCAGAAGGGACATAGGGTGGGGAATCCAGACTCATGGGCTTCGGTCCCGCCTCTGCCCTGTGCCCTGGGTCTGGAGAGGGTCACCAGTGATGCATTCCTACCCAGGCCTGTTGCAAATGGATGTCCTTCAGCTCTGCAAACCCACATCAAGGATCCGCTCCATCCCAGGGGACCCTCRGGAGGCACACGAGGCTTGAGTCCCACTGCCATCTTATCAGGAGGTGGTCATTCTTTTGGTCATTGACTGAGTACAGCATTTATGGAGCACCTACTGTGTGCCTGCTGGATGCTAGGAATGCAGCACTACATAAGACTGCCAAGACCTGCTCGTAGGTGTGAACGGCTTGGTGAGTCATAAACAGACAAGATATCTTTAGAGAGCGGCCAGGGCTGCAGAGGAAGTAAAATGAGGTGATGAGCTAGAAGCTAGACAGGGAGGTCAGAAAGGTGACCAGTGCCCCGAGATGAATTCATTAGCACGCTGTGGGAGGACAGCTGTAAGCATCACCTGTGCGTGCAAGGTGGACGTGACATTCAGACAGGGAGTCTAACTCAGACTCCAAGCTGTGAAGGCTTCCCAAAGGCGAGGAGGACGTCATGAACTAAGCCACCGTAGTACAGGCACCTGCCATCTGTGCACATCCACTCCACACCAGGTCCCTGGCGGAGCTCCTCACAGGCGTCATCTCCCACCCCTGCACCAGTGAGGGTCATGGTCCCCTGTGACCGACGGGGAAACTGAGGGTTGGAGAGGAGTCTTTGCCCAAGGTCAYAGGGCATGTGAGTGGGCAGATGGGAGTTACACCCAGCTTGTGTGGCTCCATGCTCCCCCTTCCCCACCATAGTGTCCCGGTACCCGTGAGGACTCAGGAGCAGGGAGGGACACTGAGTCTGTCAGATTCAGAACATGGGCAGTGGAGGAAGGTGACGGGCTTCTGAGGAGGAGGCTGTTCCATCACCTCCTGTCTTRTCTCTGTGTCCAGTGAACCTCAGGACAGGCAGGACTGGCCCACTGTTAGCCCCATGTGGTCTCAGCTAGTGGTGGGAACACTAGCAGTTTCTCTCATGTTGAAAAACACAGTGCATTGCTGGCTCTTCCATCAGTGTGTCAGTCTCTGCTGCATATACAGGTCTAGACAAGGTCCTCACTCCCTCACAGGCCTCTGTCACATTACCCAACAGTGGTAGAACCTGGGTTTGAATGTCTGTCGGTCGAAATCCACAGCCTGTTCAATCCATGCCATGTAAGGTCCTATCCTTGCACCCTCTGCTCACTATTTATATTAGTCTGTTTTCTGCTACTATTACAAAATACTCAAGACTAGATACCTTATAAAGAAAAGAGGTTTATAATCCCAGAAGCTTAGGAGGCTGGCTGAAGCAGGAGGAGTGCGAGTTCAAAGCCAGCCTCAGCAACTCAGTGAGGCCCTAAGCAATTTAGTGAGACTCTGTCTCAGAATTAAAAAGTGAAAACCGCTGAGGATGTGGCTCAGTAGAAAAGAACCCCTGGGTTCAGTCCCTGGTATGAAAGACAGAAAGAGAGGGAGGAAGGAAGGAATWAAGAGGCTTATTGAGCTCACAGTCCCTAAGGGTCAGGGGCGTGGGGCTGCCCTGGATTCTGGAGAGACCTCAGGGTAGATGGCATCACGATGGCGGAGCCGTGTTTAAGAGGGAGCGGTCCTGGGGACACAGGAAGCTGGTGTGAATAGAGAGCGGGACACTGTTGCCCAGCAGCCCACCCTGGTGGGAGCGGACGCACCCTGTGGGACATGTTCATCCTGCCGAGGGTGGCACCTGTGACCCCAGTTACCTCCGCTAGGCTCCACCTCTCACATGGCCACGCTGGGGACCAGACCTGCAGGACAGGAACCTTTGGGGCCACGCTTACACCATAGCTCCTCTCTCCCTCCCCACGGCAAGGGGTGGTGGGCGCCAGGGAAGCATCTGCCCTGGCAGCACCGTCACCCATGACTTGAGATCGTGGTTCCACCACTTATCCCTGGGCTGACCCAACTTCCAAGCCTGGTGCTGATCCATCTCACTCCATGACACCTGCGTCCCACAGGGACGTCCCCGGCCTCTGCTCCTGCCTCCGGGAGTGGGGCCTCTGCCCCAGGCATCGCCTTCTGTTGCTGACCAGCTGCAGCAAAGGAAGAGCCTCCTTCTCCAAAGCCTTGGTGGTTCCTTGTGACCTCTCACACCTGCTGGCTGCCCGGAGCCGCAGGCTTCTCTGCCTGCGAGGACGGCAGCGTAGCTCGGGTGTCCCCTAGGGAGGCGCAGCAGCCAGGGGACTGCCTGTCTTGCCCCTCGCTCAGATGCCCTGGGTTTCCACTCTGTTCTGGATCCTTAAGTTCAGAAGTGGGTGACGTGGGGGCTGCCAGGGCTACAGGTGGGGAGGCTCCCTTCTGAGGCTGAGCGCCGGATGCCTGTGACAGGTGCCTCTCACGTCCTGACACCACTGGACATGTGAGCCCACCAGCCAGGGCCTGGGCTTCCTGGAGTGGGAGGCAGAGAGGAGCTGGTCCGATGCAGGGATCTGTGCGTTAGGACACTCCCTGGGGCACGGGGAGCCAGAGGGTTCCCAGACAGATGAGCCAGTGACTTCTGAGGCATGGACCATCGGCTTACGTTTCCTGCTGTGGAAGGAGCCYGAGCCGGGACAATGTCTGGTGCCGGCGTGCGACACGGTGGGAGCGGCACCCCTGCACCCACTGGTGAGAAGGGTCCTAAGGGCCTGTCCTTCACGGCAGTGGGAGCGGTCGCAGGCTGGGCACTGTGGGTGCGCCCCCTGTGCTTGATGAAAACCCACGCGACAACTCCCGAGGCTCCGGTCTGCAGATGGGGAAACTGAGGCTAGGAGATGCGATGGCTGGCACAGGCGTGAGAGCAGAAGTGGCGGTGTGGCGTTGCCTACCAGGGCTGGTGTCACCAGCCTCCCTGTCCAGGCCTTCTGCTGTCCAAGGCCTGTTGGCCCACGTGGGCGGCCGTAGCAGAGCGCACAGACCCTGCGGCTCCACCGAACAGCAGTTTCTCTTCCAGAGTCTGGAGGCCCGAGGCCCAGGGTCAGGGCCCAGCTTGCTCCGGTTCTGGTGAGGGTCTTCCTAGCTTGCAGGTGGCCACCTTTGCCCTGTCCTTGTGGGAGAAGAACACGGTCTTTGGTAACGCCACCTCACCCCTTCACGAGCCCACCACCCTCTYGGCCTTGTTAAGCCCAGCTGCCTCCTAAGGACCCGATTTCCAGACACAGTCACGTTAGGGATGATGAGGGCGTAGGAATGGGGGCRGGCACCGTGACCCACAGCACCTCCAGGTGGCCTCTGCTTGCTCCTGGCTGGCTGCCCCCACCTACCCTCCTGGCTCAATACCCTAACTATTTCCAACCTGGGCGACAGCTGGAGTGGGGCCAGCAGGCATGAGGYGCCCCAGGCTCCTGGCAGATGGAGTGGCTGAGACCCCGAGAGGAGACGGGTCCTGGCCTGGCCACACAGCAAGCCCCTGCGGTTCCAGGCCCAGAGCCCAGCCTGCCGCTGGCTCCGGCACCCCCAAGTGCTTCAGTAGGTGTGCCCGGGGGCTCTGCCTGAGCCAGCCTTAAAGGTCACAGTCCAGGCCCTTCAGGGCACTGGAGAGGCCGGCATGGCCAGGGCGGCCTGCCCGGGCTAGCCACGTGACGATTTCCAGCGTGGGCACGCCTCAGTTTCCCTACCTCGTGAGGTCCTAGGGCCACAGGGTGATATGGAGTCTCGTTGAGATGGGTTCTGGGGTGGGTGTCGGGGCCTGGCCTGACACTATTTTTGTGGGTGGCCCAGGGCCGTCACGACTCTGCTCCTGACCCCCGTGCCCTCCTGTGACACAGACTCCATAGTGCCTGCCCTGCCCTGCTCAGTGCTGACCCTGCGGCTCCAGGTTCTCTGGTGTTGGAAGAGCCAYCTCTGTGCCTGAGGGCTGGCTCCCAACATCGCCATCTCGGGAGCCTTTGGGGACTGGAGTTTCCCCATCTGTAAAACAGGAGCAGGAAGAGCTTGGAGAGCTCTCCAGGCGGCCTGCCAAGGAGGGAAGCGAGCAGCACGCGCGCTTGGCCTGCGCCAGACACTTAAACCCTGGCTGCTCAACACGTGGTTTGAGGAGCAGGCACCAGCTGACCCGGGAGCTCGTCAGAGACGCAGAACCCCAGGCCCCAGCCCTGCTGCAGCATCCTGCAGTGATCAGGGTCCCCAGCCGGTGGGGGTGCACGTTGAGGTTTGAGAAAAAGAGATTTTAGCCAGCTGCAGGTACCCTCCTAGGGCACTGGTAACTCACTTGTGGTCAGTACAAACGAGGGCCAGGAGTCAACTGGGCACATCTGGACCTCTTGAGACTCCCGCTCTCCTAATGGTAACATTAGTTGGAGCCATATCAGCCTGGCAGTTTTCAAACTGTGCTTCATGGCCCCCCTGGGAGCCTGGGGGCAGCCACCCAGACTGCGTGGGAAGCTAAGTGGGCTGGGGGTCCTTCTGTCCACTCCATACGCAGCCTTGCGTGTCTCTGTGGTGCCTTGTGCTGGTGGCTTCCCAGCTGGGCCTGGGAGCAGGGATGGTGTCCACTCTGAGCAGACTCTCCTCTTTCCTAGGGAGCGCTTGAAGCGCAGCCAGAAGAGCACCAAGGTGGAGGGCCCAGAGCCAGCGCCAGCTGAGGCCTCGCTGAGTGCCGAACAGGGTACGATGACGGAGGTGAAGGTCAAGACAGAGCTGCCCGATGACTACATCCAGGAGGTGATCTGGCAGGGTGAGGCCAAGGAGGAGAAGAAGGTGGTCAGCAAGGACGGGACAGGCGACGTGCCTGCAGAGATCTGCGTGGTGATTGGCGGTGTCCGCAACCAGCAGACCCTTGGTGAGCACCCAGCCGAGAGGCTCAGGGCCAGGACCAGGGCGGGAATGTGGGGCTAGCATCGTTGGGGAGTGGGCCTGGCTTCTGCCCGGTCCTCTGCTGAGAGCCTGCAGCAGCCCGGGCAAGCCTGTGCTCCTGAGACCCACCTCTGCGTCTCTCTGCAGGCTCTTATCTTCCTGCCCCGGCGGGTAAAACCCTACCCACCCGTCGGGCCCTCGTGGCAGCCAAAGGCTCAGGACCTTCTGTGGGCCTCCTGAGTCCCCTGTGGGGCCGGCGTCTCCCTGGTCACTTGCCTGTCTGCCTTTCCCCCTCCTTGGTTTGATCACGGTTCCTGGGGCAGCTCCCAGCTCAGGTCCTGCCCGAGCAGATTCCTGGTCAGGATCAGATTAGTGACACCACACCTTGCCCTCTTAGAGGAGCTGTAGAAACCAGCTTTCTAGCAACGCTTTCTCTTCCTTCCTCTCCCGGGGTCCCCCACAGGGCTTCCTGCGCCACTGCCAGGCTCACAGCTCAGCTGCCCACAAGCCCAACAAACAGGCTTGTTTCGTGTAAGTAGAGCGGARCCAGCAGGACAGGTGGCGGGGACCGTGTCCAGTTGGAGCCCCCTCACCCTWCGCACGTGGGGTGGCTGCTCCTCAGCTGGTCTCTGAGCTCAGCGTTGCCAGATCTCTCACAAATCGCACGCCAGGAACGAGCATTGTGATGTGAATTCTTTTGGTTTTCAGTGTTGGCAACAAATTGCACTTTTGAAATCTGCCAAACGGAACCTATTTGTGGGTCTGAGTCTTTCCAAGGGCCACAAGTTTGCAACCCCTGCTCTGTGAAACAAAGCCCACGGTCCGCCTGACTTTGTCGCCGTGTCTGGTCAGACCCTGGGCTTCCGTTTCCATCCGCGCCGCCCTCCGCGTTTCCTGAGCTTGCTGTGTCTTTGGGAGTGCCGCTGCCTCCGTTGTCACTGGTTGGTCTGGCCTGCCTTTTTCTAAGTGCCTGCATCTGCCTGGTGTGCAGCACCCTGTGTGGCCCTCAGGGCCTCATGGTGAAGGTCCCTGTGTCTGTTCCACCTGGTTCCACTCAGGTCCTATGGCCTTTACTCCCCAGCCACTGGGCTGGGCCTCATGCCCCTTCCCAACCGTTCCTCTGCTGTCCGGGCCGTGATCAGCCCTGCCTGGGTCGTGCGGCACCTCTGACWCCTGTGTCTCCCTGCCCAGCATCGCCTGCTCTGCCCGCTGGCTCCAGGGAGGCCTTGCCAAAGCAGACCCCTGACCGTGCCGCTCCCTGCTGGTCAGCCTCAGGACCGACTCTCACCCGTCTCTGATGGCCTCAGGTCCTCCGTAGCCCCAGGTCCTGCTCATCTCTCCAGACCTCTCATTCCACAGCAGTCTGCTCTTCTCGCCTCCTGCTGTTCCCTCTCCTGGGACTGCCTTTGCCCTTTTCCCAGATCACCCCATACCTGTGCCCTCTGCTTTCAGAAGCGTCCCCTGATCCCTCTGGTCAGAAGGGTCTGTTTCCACCCTGGCCCTCACTAGGACACCTTCCCACTGTCTCTTTACAGTAGAGGCCTTCACTGTGTCTGTCTCTGCCAGGTGACTGGTAACCCCTCAAGTTTGGAGCTCCAGGACCTGCCTGATTTCTGTCCCCTTGCTCCCCACTCCTGCCCATGGTACCTAGCAAGGTCCTGGCTTCCGGAAGTGATGTTCACAGTGGTACTGTAACTGGTGGAATGGGGCTGGGTTATGCTGCAGTAACAAAAGGTCCTAAAACAAACAAAGAGWTCTTGGCAGCTTAAAACTCCACAAAAGTTTATTTCTTATTTACACTGCATGTTCATGTGGGTCACAGTGRGCTCTGCCTTCCTCTAGGCTCAGACAGAAATCAGCCCTTATGTAGAATTCTGCTGGCCAAACAAGCCCTGGGTGGGCTCCCCTGGCAATCGTTGGCTGTAGTCAAAAGGAAGCGGTATTAAGTCCGCTCGCAGCCATTGGCTAGAGATAATCACATGGTTCTACCCAACGTCAAGGAAACTGGGAACAGTCATCCTTCCACTGCCGGAATSTGGGTGAACAGAGTGTCTGGAACATGTGTTTAGTGCCAAAGGAGACAAGCCTTTTCAGGGGTTGGACCTGCCCTCCTGCCGTCAGTATTCACCCCCACCCCCAGGGTCAAGGACTGAGTTCCCCCACCCCCGGGTGGAATTGTTCCTGGGAAGAGGACATGCCCTTGCTCTCTCTGGTGTGCRCCGTGAGACTCACCAGACCCAGCAGCTGTCTCATGCTTACCAGGAGATGCCCAGTGAGGGCAGCAGAATCTGAGTCTTGGAGTGGAGCCGGGGCCCAGGTCCACCAGGGAAGCCTCGAGCATCCAAGCCAGGGAAGTGTCGGAGCCTTCCTGTGACGCTGCCTGCACAGGGACAGCCCCTGGGTCCTCGAGCCTGGTGCCAGCCACGATGGGGTTTCCATCTCAGCTGCTGCTCTGCAGTGAGGCCCCTGGTCCGTCTGTCTTACTGTCCTCATGTGTGAAATGAGGCCTCGTTCCTGCCCCAGCCACCTCCTGGGTGTGGGAATCCAAACTGGCACTGAGGGCACAGTGTTGCCCGAGAAGGAGCTCCGCKGCTCTGACTGCGAGGGGATCGGGCCTGTGACGTGGGAGGTGTGGTGCCCCAGGCAAGTTTCTCGCCCTCTGGGTGTCTCAGTGCCTCCGCTGTAAATTCCCCGGGTTACGTGAGGACGGGAAGAAGCCTAGGCACAGCGCTTGACGTGAGGACGGGAAGAAGCCTAGGCACAGCGCTTGACAGGGTGCTTAGTCAGCAGCCCAGGGCCGTAACGTTGGTGCTGTGCAGAGTGGAAAGTGCTCTTCAAGGTGCGGCACAATCATGGTCCCTGCTTCCCTCCCCCGGCCTCACAGGTCAGYCAGTGTGACACGGAGAGGAACGGGCTGGGGAGGAAAGTTGGCACTGGGCGAGTCCCTGACTTCCCTCCGGTACTTGAGTATCTTGTGAAGCATCTAAGTCACCTGGTCTTGGCACACGCTTGTGGAAGAAGTTGTAGGGGCCAAGGGCAGGTTGGGGTGGAGCTGCCACTTTGGAGGCTGTACCACAGCAGGGCCAGAGCGCTCCCTGCTGGCCCCAGGGGGCTCATCTCACCTCCCCCAGGGCAGGCTTCCTGCTGGGGGGCGTGGTTGCAGCTGAGGAGGAGACTGGCTTGGCCTTTCAGGAAAGAAAGGCATTAAAGGAAAAGAAAAAGCCAGTGTGAGAAGGAACCTTTCGACTTGTCTCATTTCCAGGTGGCAGATAGATCTCACCTGGTGGGTSAAGTCTAAGCGGTGGCTGCTGGGAATTCTGTGTTGAGGACTTAGGGGGTGGCATGATCGACGGTTGAYGTCCGGCCTGGATCCAGGAGTAGGTGGTGGGGCGACATGTGCTGTCCATTTAACATCCTTGACCCCCTCATTTTATAGAGGCAGCTGAAGGCCCGTGGAAAGGAAGGGCCCTTCCCAGAGTCACATAGCAAGGTGGTGACACTCACCTCAGAGCCTACCTTGCACCCGCTTCTGAAAGTCAGGCAAGGAGGGAACCGCCCATGGGGTCCTGGAGAGGTGGGGCTGGTTAGAGCCAGGTCTTTAAGTGGGCTCATGCCACAGGGTACCCCKGTGGCCCAGCCTGGGGAGTTGACGTGGTCCGAGGCACTGGGCGGGCTGTGTCAGGGCTTCGCTCACCCAGCCGCGCTGGGGCCCACAGAGGGAGCCAGCCATCCAGCCTCGGCTGGGCCCCACTTCTCACGAAGGACCAGCCAGGTTATTCCAGAGAGTTAACCGTGGGGAGGATTCCTGTGGAAGAGCCGGGGACAGTGTGCCCTGAGGAGGGCGGTGTCGGGGGAGGGGAGGGGGCGATGCAGCAGACATGTTCTGGGTGGGCCCAACCAGCACAGGGACGTCACCAGGAGGCGATTTCAGTTCAGTAACAGGAAGGACGTGGTGACTGAGGAACGGTTTGGTACCCCGATGTAAGTGTGTAAGGGAGATGGGTGAGGGGGGGGGTCCCTGGGGGGGCTCTAGGAATGGAGTCGGGGGTCAGGAATCTGCAGGGTTTCTAGGCAAGTTCTGAGCCCCCAGGGAGGGGGCGCAGACGAGGAGGGAGCCTCAGTCCCGAGGTGGCAGCTGGGCTGGGCTCTGGGAGGAGCAGCAGAGAGCTTGACAGCCACTGGGGCGCSGCCACGTGGGTTTCGGCCTGTGACAAGCTCAGGCGGTGGAGATGCCAGGTCCTGCTTTGCAGAGCCAGCTGACAGCTAGTGTCCTGTTTCAGTGGGTTGTTGGCAGGGCTTCGCGCCCAGGCCTGCCAGAACCAGCGCGCAGCCCTTTGCAGCGCCACGCGGAAAGAAGGGGTCCTGGCTGCCCTCCAGGCCCGTCTGGTCTCTGCAGCGACGCTCCATCTGGTGGTCTCGAGTGGGAAGGGACCTGTTGGAGGGTCCCTGTTGGAAAGGGTTCCTGGACTGCACATGGACAAGCCAGGGGACCAGGAATGGGAGTTCCTAAGCTCCTGAGTGTCAGTGGGTGGGGTAATGTCTGCCTGTCTTTCCAGAGGGAACCTTAGGGCAGAGAGGAGTGGTAGACACGAAAAGGGCTTAAGGGAGAGCCGAAAGCAAGCCAGATGCAGGCATGGGACATTGACACCTCTGAGGTGACCCGGGAATGATAGGAACTATCATTTTTTGTTGCCTCCTAAAAGAGTGTTGAGACACAGTGTGTTTGTTCTTTCACATTTTTGAGCTGACGTCTTAACGTTTCTATCCAAAGTTTAAGTAATTGCAAAGGATACGATTTCTGGAATACTGTATTTCAAAAAAGGTGGCACTTTGGAAATAAAGCTGTGAACCTCTCTTTTAAAAGTATCCAAGGGAATCCGTGAAACAGCATTGCTATTTGAATATCCGCCATCGTCACTTAAAAAACATAAGAGCAAGCTCATCTTTAACAGCCAAGTATTTTATATCTTTCCTTTTTCTCCTTGA